GCTGATTTTCTTTCTTGGTGGTTCCAGTTCAGTAGTTTCCACATTGAAATGTTACTCTTTTCCACACTGAAATGTCCAAAAGTAAGTTCCGCAAGAGCTTGTCCGGCTCAGATTTTGGAAGGCACTTTAGATTCTTAAATTAAGGTAAAGTGCTGTATATATCTTTAGGAATCTCACAATGCTACCCTTTTTGCATTTTGTCAGCTATGTAGTGAGAGCATTCTTAATAGGGATGTGAATGACTAGTCGACTATCCGATAAGCATTGACACACTAGTCGATTACTCGCTTTGCCCCTCCTTGCTGCCTCTATCAGAAAGAGGCAGTGGGGGGAGGGGAGGAAGTGAAGGCGGTGCTTCAAAGCAGCAGTGCCGTGTGGAGCCCGGGGCCAGATCCCGGCTCCATGCAGTACTGCTGCTTTGAAATGCTGCATACAGCCCAGAGCCAACGGGAAGTCCTCAGCTTGCCCAGGCTGCACGCAGTGTTTCCAAGTGGCAGCGCCGCATGGAGCCCATGGGTCAGCTGGGGACTCCCCTGTTGAACCCGGGCTCCATGCAGCGCTGCTACTTTGAAATGCCGCGGGGAGCACAGGGCCAGTGGGGGACTGCTCAAGACCCCCACTGGCCCTGTACTCCCCACCGCGCTTTTGCCTTTGAAGTGTAGCCAACAGCCCAGAAGCATCAACTATTCGATTAGCCAATTAATTGAAATTTTACATCCCTAGATCTTAAGAATAAGATGTGCTTGATCATCATCAGAGACTACTCTAACACAAAAGATGTGGCAGAATGCATATAACACAGCGAACAGGAGGCATATCATTTTCCCACAAGAAGCTGAGTCACAAACTTCATTAATGTATTATTTTTTAATAATGAGCATCATCAGCATGGCAGTACATCGTCTGAAACAGTGACCAAAGCACAAGGGGGCACACAAAAGTTTAGCATACCTGGCACATAAATACCTTGCAAAAGCAGCTACAAAAAACTACCACGTTCTCACTTTCAGATGACATGGCAAATAAGACATGGACAACATTATCTCCCATAAATGTAAACAAACTTAATTCTCTTAGCTATTGGCTGAACAAGAAGTAGGACTTTGTGGACTTGTAGGCTCTAAAAAGTTTTATACTGTTACATAACTACAATAAAAAACAAAACAATTTACACTGTAAGTTGCACTTTCATGATAAAGACATTGCATTACAGTAATGAGGTACTTGTATGAGGTATTTTTGAGCTAGTCGCTTGATTTATCAGTGATTAATCGACAGCCCTAATTTAACTGCTTACAGCTAGGATAATATTTCCCTATGTGTCTATAGCACAGGCCCCAAATCCTAAAAAGCTGTTCTTTTTACACAAGATAATACAATTCAAGTCGCTCAATTCTGTACCTATTTTCCCTCTCTTTCTGCTAGTGATTACATCTTGCTTCAGAAAATTAGGCCTCCTGCTTCCTCAAAGTAACCTTTTGAAGAAAAGAAAAGCCTAGAATTGTCACATACTTGTTCCGTTTATTGTGAGAACACAAACTTTCACTTAGCAAAGGTCTGTCAATCTAGTAGTACCAAACCTCACTTAATTATCAGATTTGAATACCACAATATTTTCACCCTAACATCCCTTCAGCTACCATTCCTCAAAAAATTTTAGTTTTAAGACTTGCTTTCTGCCTTACAAAGACTTTAGTCTGCATCTAGCCCTCATATTTTGTTCTATTTAGTAATCCTAAGGGATGTTTCCCTCCTCTCTCAGGGATAAAACTTACTCAAATCTCATCCAGTCGTTTGTATCCAAAACTAAAAATTGACATAGAACTAGACATAAATGAGAGCAAATAACATTTCTGAGACATTCTTAATGTGCTTAATTCACTGCATTTTATTTTCTAGTAGCATTTCCCATAATGAAGATTACCTGGGGACATCAATGTAAAAACGTCAATGTGGACAGCTGCAGTTTAACAGCCACAATAACTGTAGCTATGAAATTTTTAAGAGATGTAGTGTTTTGCTGGCAATTACAGTTATTGATATTTCTAAAATTCATTTAAGCTTTTATTGTAACTTTAGCAATGAAAAGAAATGTAGTCTATGATATGACTTTGCTAAGGATAAATTGTCACAATCTTAACATTATTAAAAAATCTGTTTGAATTTAAACTGTGAATCATATTAAAACTTTCAATCAAAATAAATTACTCTTGATGAAAACACTGAATTAAAAATGATTTAATATTGATCTAATTTAACGAAAAGACTACAGCTTCATTCAACCAGGTAGTAAATATTTTACCGATTAATACATTTGTTAATACTTTAGTGCAGCCTACCAAAAAACCTTTCCTTGGTCCTATGGACATTGCTCAGATTAATCCCCCACTGAAATCCCCATACAGATGCATTATACAACTAGCATGTTGTTTTTCTGTGAAAAGTGACATTGGGGATTCCATGCTTATTATCTTATCAATTCCAGTTTTGCATCCTCAATCTGGGATCTGAAAGTAGAACTGAATTCTTTCTAGCCAAGGCATTACAACCAATAACAAAGATTAATAAAACCATAGAATTAGAAGGAACCTCGAAAGATCATCAAGGTCAGTCCCCTGCACTCTTAGGAGAACTAAGCACCATTAAGACCATTCCTGGCAGGTATCTGTATAACCTGTTCTTAAAATCTCCAACAATGGAGATTCCACAATCTCCCCAGGAAATTTATTCCGGTGGTTAACCACCCTGACAGTTAGGAAGTTTTTCCTAATGTTCAACTTAAACCTCCCTTGCTGCAGTTTAAGCCCATTGCTTCTTGTCCTATCCTCAGAGGATAACGAGAATAATCCTTGGAATGTATGAAACACTTTTTTTAAAATTTCAGAAAGTGGAGAAAGCTACTACGGAAGAGGCTATTCTAGATTTGATTTTGATAAATAAGGAACTGATGAAAAATTTGAAAATGGAAGGCAGCTTGGCTGAAAGTGATCATGAATGGACAGAGTTCATGATTCTGAGGAATAGTAAGAATGAACGCATCACAATAAAGCCAATGGATTCCCAGAAGGCAGACTTTAGTAAACTCAGAGTGTTGGTAAATAAGGTCCCATGGGAAGCAAGTCTCAGGAAAAAAACAGTTCAAGAGTGGACAATTTTTCAAGGAGACATTATTAAGGGCACAAGAGCAAATATCCCCACTGCACAGGACAGATAGGAAGTATGGTAAGAGAACACTGTGACTTAACCAGGAGATCTTCACTGATCTGAAATACAAAGGAGTCCTTACAAAAAGCGGGAAGTAGGTCACATTACAAAGGATACATATAAACAAACATAAGCATACAGGGATAAAATTAGAAAGCCCAAGACAAACAAAAAGATTAAACTAGCTAGAGCCATAAACAATAACAAGAAATACATTTGAGGTAGATGAAGGACAAGGTGGGCCTGTAACATAATGAGGCAGCGGGGGCATGGGGAAGACAGTAACAAAAAATGTGGAAATGGCAGAAATGCCAAATGATTTTTTCACCAAAAATGTTAGTAGTGATTGCATATCTAACATTGACCATCAGTCAAAATGAGGACGGACATGAGGCTAAAAGAACAAATTTAAAATGTAGACAAGTTAGATATCTTCAAAACACCAAGGCCTGATGAAATACACCCTAAAATACTGAAGGAGCGGACTGAAAAGATATCTGAGCCAATTGTTGCTATCTTGGAAAAGTTGTGGAAAATTGAAGAGATCCCAGAGGACTGGAAAAGGGTAAATATAGTGCCAATCTATGAGAAAGGGAATAAAGGAACTTTATACCAGCCAACTTAATTTTTGTACCTGGAAAGATAATGGAGGAAATAGCTATCATCATTTAGATATTTGCAACTAATTGCTTAATGCCGTGTTGTCCAGGCAAAGGAATACCCACACACAAATAATTCAAGTTATTTACCTGTAACTGGAGTTTATTCAAGATAGACCCTTCCTCCCTATAATGTACTTTCTATGCCATTATCAAAATCATGGATGAAAATATTGAGCATAACCATACCTAAGATCAGTCCCTGTGGAACCGTGCTTAATATGCCCATCCAGATAACTACTGATAACTACTCTCTGGGACCAGTTTTTCACCTAGTTATACAGTACACCCACCTTATGGTAGCTCCATCTAGTTTGTTTTCTCCCTATGAGAAGGTCTTGTGAAACAGTATCAAAAGCTTTATTAAAGTCAAAATACATACAGAGGATGCACCATGAACATGCAAAGGCCACTCATAGAAAAACAGGGTCTAAAACTAAACTGTCATTTAGTGCAAATGGGAAGTCTGCTACAGACAACAGAAATTCCTATCGACCGGTCTCCAATTACTCAACAGGCTAAATAAAAATACTTGAAAACTACCACCAATTCAAGAGTTATTTCCTCGTGGGCAGTACATCAAAGTGGCTAGAGCAGAAGACTAGGGCACACAATTCCTAGCTTTTATTCTCAGATCTATCAGCGATTGCATGTGCGAGATATGAACAAATTACAATCGCTCTGTATTTGAGTATTCTTATCTGTAAAATAGGAGAAATGATACTTACACATCTTTGTAAAGCATACAAAATCCTTTAAAAGTGTTATAGAAATACATAGCATTATTACTACGTAATAACCACATAACCCACCACGCTGCCTTATTTTTCATGTATTGATCTTTGGCCACAAAGAAAAGCAATGAAGTAGAAACGGTTTGTTTAAAAAAACAGGCTCTTTACCAGCAGGACATGAGACTTTATAATTATAATTATTGGATCCTTATAATTATGGAGCATTCCCAACACCATAACAGCCTTTGAGAAGTCTACATGTGGATATTTTTATCAGCTCAGTCTATGTTTAATTTTAGAGCCCCCTCCCTTCAGCTGCATTCTTGGAAGTGTATTTCACCCATTGTCTGTGTGTGTGATACCACCTATAAAAGTTACTAATATAAAGCCTTCTTGGACTAACCTTAGCCTTTGCTTATAGTAATCCTCATCTCCATCATCTCTGCATCTCTTCACTCTACGATTTCCTATGGTACTCTCCTCCTCTTCCTCCTCAGAACTTGGGAAAAAGTCTTCATCCTCCTCAGCTTCTTCCTTAAGGATCCTCTTCCCTGAATGTTTTCTTGCTCCTGGCAAAGTCTTCAGTTCATAATCGGAACTATCATCGGCAAGAGAAAATGGTTCCTCCTCCTCATCTTCTGGATTAAAAAGCTCCTCATCAGGCACATATTCGGACTCTCCACTTTCATCCCCTTGCTCACCTTTCAGCCTTTCCTGGAGCTCAGGAAGTCTCTTTTCCTTTGGAATTCCTATCTTAAATTGGATCTGAAGAGCATGGGTCTGAAGTTTCTTCATGTGCTTTTTCAGGCGCTTATCTGTTTTTGACAGGATTCTGGTTTTGCCCCTCTTTTCCTTTTTGACTAATGTGGGAAGAGCACACTGAGCTTTCTTGAGCTCTGCTCTATTCTTTGCTCTTTTTTTAAGGGCTGACCTCTTCCTTTCAGACGACAGTTTAGCTTGATCCGCCAAATACTTCTCAAAATCAGATGTTTCATTTAGCATTAATCTACGTGGCTTTTTTTCTATCTTCTGAGGGACCTTAGTTCCAAAAGGGGTCATCTGACCAGTACGAATGAGTTCCTCCCATTCTGTTTCCTGCACTGGCATGAGCATACTGCCAAGAGACGATGGACCAGGCTCTGCAAAGAGACTCAGAACATTCATTTCTTATCTGCATACTCATCAGTCTAAGTCATGCTCTAAGTAATATCCCACAGTTTAAACAGATATGCAGGTTTGTTTTAACCCTTTAATTTATTCATTTTAATTATAATTAGAGCATCAATCCCAAAACCAGCACCCTACCTCAGATATTGTACAAGAAAAAACCAAAACTACATCCATCCAATTCAATGGTTAGAGAAATCAGACAAACTAAACAGGGGAGAAGACAGAGAAAAAAATGCTCCAACAAGGAAGAAAATGAAAGAGAGAGCCAAAATGGTCAGATAACATTTTACACATACAGTAAATAGCACCTTTTATCTCAAAGTGTTTTTCAAACTATAAACACAGTTAATAGTGCAGCTATTTCTGACATGAAGTTTATCTGCAAAGATAATAAATTAAGTGACTATCTACATCATCACTCTCCAGGCATTAACCCTTTATGAGTATTATACTCTTAAACTTGTAGTCTTATTTCCTCACACCATACTTCAAAGAAGGGACACAAGACTGATCATCCATTTAAAGTTTCTCACTTTATCAAACACTCTACCAAATATCCACTATGGATCACTGGCATGTATGACTTTAAAAAATAGCAACTACACAGCATATAAAACAGAGCACAAAAATCCTGAAATGTTCATGAACCTCATACATTCTTATTCATTTGCAACATGATACATAACAAAAATATGGCAGGTACATTTAGGTACTGATGCAATATCTGAAGCCATGTTTAAGTCCTATTTTTAAAACTCAATATTTATCAAGATGCTGGTATCTCTAAGTCCATTTCCTCAATTTAGTGCCCAATTCATGTCCTTACCAGAATTTCCCAGATACTCACACTGCATTTCCGTCAGCTTGCTCTTTAGTAACATTTCTTTATGAAACTACAATTAATATCTCCACAATACAACTCTCTTGCTTCTACAGCTTTCCCAGTAAGATGGACAGAAATTACTGTTCCAATCCTATAAAGGTACTTAAGGGTTCACCTGGATTAGATTATAGGACGGAGGCCTCTGGCACTTGAACCAGTGTGTGCTTAATTTTAAGTATGAGTAGTCCCACTAAATTAAATTAGATTATAGATACAGGCAGCCCCCGAGTTACGCGGATCCGACTTACGTCAGCTCCGCAGTTACGAACGGGGCTGTCTCCCTGGTCTCTAGCAGACCAGGGAGAGGAAGCAAAGCAGCGGAGCACGCGGGCAGTGGACAGCCCAGACGTGTCTGGGCTGTCCGCTGCCCACGTGCTCCGTGGCTTTGCTCTGCTTTGCTCCCCGTCTCCCTGGTCTGCAGACCAGGGGGACGGGGAGCAAAGCGGTGGAACACGCGGGCAGCGGACAGCCCAGATGCGTCTGGGCTGTCCCGCTGCCCCCGTGCTCCGCGGCTTTGCTCCAGACGCCTGTGATACAGCAGCTGGGGTGCTGCCGGTTGGTCCCGTAGTGCCGCTCTGGGCGCTACTGGACCAACCCGGCAGCACCCCAGCTGCTCTGCCCCAGGCATCCCCAAGTCAGCCGCTGCT